AATTCGTAAATCAAGTTAAATAATTTCAACGATAGAGTGAAGAATTCATAAAAAACACACTGCTGTGAGTTAGTTACATTTCTTCTTAAAATTTAATTGCCTGCACTGCCCACATAATAATATTAACAAAATAAAAACATAAATCCTCCCAAGTAGGGATGGCGAAGGCAAGTTACCTATCGTAAAAATTAAGCTAAAAATAAATCACTAAGGTTTATAAAACCTTGTGAATCGACCCTAGATGATGATAATCATCTCCTTAATACTTAACAAAAAAAAATGGTACATGTGTAATTTAAAACGCTCTTAACTTCTACCTTAAAACACAACTCCTATAGTTTCAAGTCGAAGTAATCTTACGTCCGTAGTTTGCTCTGCCGACCTGGACGTGTTCCCGCAAGAAAAATCTTAATAAATATAAGTTCTATAATGAAATATCAAATATTATCTAGTATGCAACATACCTTACTCATCTGTGTGTTGCAGAAACTATTTGTTTTACTATGATAAATTGTTCAAATTTTAATAATACGTTGAAATATCTTACTATTCTTACTAAAAATTTAAATGCGAATGTTTCGATGTATGGATGATTATTAGAAGATATCTACAAAACAGATGCATGGATCTCGCTGAAATTTGGTATTGATTTAGAACATAGTCTGGAAAACATACTTACAGGCTACTTATTTAGATATATACTTTTTTTAATTATGCTTCTTTACATTATAAAGCTATAACATGTATAGCAAAAAAAGAAAAAAAATACAAGCTATTTTACCACTATTATATACATCTAAATTGTTCTCTTAAAATACGCGGACGGAATCGCAAGCAACAGCTAGTGCCTAATAAAAGTTGTTTTTAAATTAACTTCCAATATGAGAGCTTCAGTTAACAGAAAGATAAATATTTTAAGCTTAAATCTCCTTGATATTTACAGAATCTTGCAAGTTTACTTTATAAAAGTGAGCAGTGCTACAATTTTAAAATAACCTTTACATTTTCACAAGCAAATGTTTACTCAAAAGGCAGCGGGGACTTCCTATATTTGTGGACGCGTTTATCAATACTCTTGTACTACTTTAAATATTTTCAAATTATTGCTCGTATTTTGTTAAAGCAAATTAAATGTCGGAAGTTGTTATTTGTTAAGTATATCAATTTCCGGGCAAATAAAACTGTATACAGTATTATTATTACGTGATTTTAATATAAAGGAATTATGTATATTAGCTACAGCCTTGTTGAAACGACTTTTACATACACTAATTAATCACAATCTTAAAGAAAACAAACACATGTTGATATCAACTGTCGCCCGTGATACCGTCCGCACGGGAATTTAAAAAACTTTAGTAACCTATGTGTTCTTCGAGACTGTTCTACATCTATGCTAAATTTCAGCGAGATCTATGCAGCTGTTCTGCATACCTTTAAACAAACATCAATCCAAACATCATCGAAGAGAATTTTTAGAGTACCAGTTAATCTTGCTACGTTTGAACTGTATTTGAATAACAGTAGTATTATTACAAATTCAAATAATTTATACATTAACACGTTGAGCTTACGAAATTTCGCACTACTTGACGAGAGCAAAGTTCGTATACGAAATACAAATATACATCGAACGAAACGTTTAAAGTATTTGTAATCATGGCGGGACTAATTCATATGCAAGTAAGTGTATCGTTTAGCATATTATTGTAAAGAGCAATGTCACCCTAAGTCGGCTTTAGTGAAAATTCGGCTCTTTTTTCCGTCGGCGAGCATTATCAAGTACACGGTAATAGAGGCAGCGGGTGCGCGTGCGCGACGCGACATCTGTGTCAACATTACGATTGTGAGAAAAGTTTTTTTTTTTCGACGCAACAAATGGCTTCCTGACAGCCACATATTTTTGATGTTAATAAATCAGGTTATATTCGAATTAACAAAACTTATATTTTACTAGGTAACTAGCGTATCCCTGGACTCTATCCGAGCGGAATTCAAAAATAGCCTAGGTGTTCTTCCAGACTTTGTTCTGTATGTATGCCAAGTTTTATCAAGATCAGCCGTTCCGGAGATACCATTCTACCATCTAAACATTCGCATTTATATTTTAGTAACATTAAATTAACTAAAATTTAATCTACTATAAACTATGTTTATTTATAGATCTATTGATCAATTGAACTTTTTATTAGACATAATTTGAATTAAGAATTTAGTTACTATTTGTTTGCTAGCGGTTTGTAATATTGATTACCATATTGGCGATGTATTCACAAATAAATGAAATAGGTTTTTGAATAGAATAACAAGTCAAATGTGCATTGTGAAACAATAGAACAAAAGTTAATGCATTTCAAAGGTGAACTATGTGGAAATGTTAGAGGTCCAATTATTTGTCATATTGGATTTCCTTAAACCCGTTAAGGATCGAACTCATCTGTTTACATCGATCTTTGCCCCAACGAATATCATACAATCGATTCTATATCGATAATTCATTTAAACAAAACACTTTTTTGGGGGTGGGAAATCTTGGCGCCGCAAATCATACTTTTGGTTTAGCTATTATAAATGCGAATGTTTAGATGGATGGATGGATGTTTGTTTGAAGGTATTTTCAGAAAGGCTTGACGGGTCCGGTTGAAATTTAGCATAGATGTAGAATATAGTCTGGAAGAACACATAGGCTACTAATTAGTTTTTTTTTAATACCGCGCGTTTAGGGCGACATTTAATATGTGAAATTTTTCACAGAATTTTTTTATCAATTAAAACTCTTTAAATTCAGTTAAAGAGAATATTATTGATTTCCAAGAATTAATTATATATATACAAATATTCAAATACAAGGTTCATAGTTCATAAACTGAGATAAATACTAACATTCGTAATGTTTAATAACCAAATGTCTAAGCTCGAATGCAGGTAAAGTCAGAGGTCAACTTCGAGTGAGTTCAAATTTCCTAAACAAAGTACATATTTGTTCTCCCAGTACAAAGACAAAGTTAACGATATATTTTTCTTTAAGAAAAAGTTTGCCTACACTTTTTGAAACAGATAATGAAATATTGTCGTATATTTAAGCTAGCTGTCGCCTGCGACTTCGTCTGCGCGGAATTAAAAAAAAAACTTAATTAGCAGGCTATGTGTTCTTCTAGACTATCTTCTACATCTATGCCAAATTTCAGCACAGCCTATGCAGCCGTATTGAGTTCAAACAAACATCCATCCATCTAAACATTCGCATTTATAATATTAGTAAAAAGTAAAATGGCAGATTTTCATATTGGTTAAATAGAAGATAACTAAAGATTTAATTAGTTTAAAGCTAAACACTATTTCTTTGATATTTTGCTATCAAAACTTTGTATGCAAAAGCAGAACTAAATCGTTCTTGTTATAAACATAAATAACGATAGATTTATCAAAAAATTAAAACTTTATTACGTAAAGAAAATTAAACTTGTAATTCTCTATTACAAGATCTTGTCTACCAATTAACTCGTCACATTTATCTGCCCCTAACAATGTCTTGCTAGCGCGTTGGGAACACGGGAATATCTTGCGGGTTATTAATTGAGCATTGTACGCCTTGTAATAGGACCGGACTCCTTCGTACCATCTTTATGAAGACGTATATGTTAAATATTAGGTGCTACATGTGATAACATATATGTTAATTTATTAAGCAGATACTTATATAAACATCGTTCGTCGTTTAAAATAATGATCTTTGGTCCTTGCTATTTTTTTATTAAAGGTATTTCTATAGTTCTTTTAAAGGATACGCGTTGATTTAGGGAAATAAATACGTCTAAAAACAAGAAATTTGTAATTAATATAGCTTGTTGTTGTAACAAGCATTGTTTAATATTTCCGTTTCCACTGCTGAAACATAAACAAATGTCTTACTTGCTATCTTACTATAATTATAAATGGTGATGTTTAGATGGATGGATGTTTGTTTGAAAATATCTCAGGAACGGTTCAACGGATCTCGCTCAAATTTGGCATAGATGTAGAACATAGCCTAAAGGACCCATAGGCCATTAATTCCGCGCGGAAAGAGTCGCGGGTGACAGCTAGTATTATTATAAATGCGATTATTTAGTTGGATGGTCATTGGAAACTCAAAAACGTCTCCACAGATGCAGAGATAAATAACTGACTGGAATACTTCCATTTATTTAATTCCGCGCGATCGAATTATAAAGGTTTTTTCTTTTTCAAAGAGAATTAGGTACATGGCGAGTTATTTTTTGTTTAGATGTATCGGCAAGGTAAACGAAAGTTTAAAAGGAATAGTTTCCATACTTCAACATAACTCGAGTAAAAGATATTGATATGATAAAATCACCTACATATATGTAAATTAAATAGATTAATATTTGTTATCTTAAGTTCAAGCTAATGTCAATGTATACTAAAATTGGCCAAGACTCGTTAATTTTTAGTACTTAATAAATAACACCTAGCACTTTTATTACAATTACTTATTGAGAAAATGTTTTGAACCCCGTGCTACATTTTCTTAGCTACACGCACAATTGATTCGAGGAATATGTAACAGTGGCTCCGTATTTGTTCGTGACGTCAAAGTTGTGAAGTTTACCTTACGAGCCGGTATGTTTGCTGTGGGCTCAGTTTGCTGGGCAATTCTGCAAACGAGATGATTTATGCTCGTATCTATTTGCACTTGAAGCTACAAGTCAAGTTTACGACGATGTTCTCAGAAGCCAGTACGATACTTCGTTGAAAGTTGCTGTGAAATGGTCTAATTAATAGAAGCTTGTCGAGTACTTTGACCTTAAATCACATGATATTTAGAGTTTTGCTGGAAAATTTAAACAAGATGTTCTGCTAAAATTAAATATTTGAAAATGAAATTATTATAGCTTGAATTTGATATCTATTAAGCTAATTTTATTCGGGAAAAAAGGCGTTTTAGTTTAACTGATAAAAGCTTTTGATGAAGACAATAAATAAAAATAAGTGGGTATTAAAAATAATTTATTTACTTATTATTTAAACAGTTCATTGCATTATGTGTTTTGTTATTTCGATCTCTCCGCTGCCGCAGCTTCATATTTACAAACATCCATTTTAACATGACGATATTCTAAAAACAAATATTTAGTTGCATTTGTATGAAAACATGTACATAAGAGGGAACATAAAGTAAACAAATCTACTATCTGTACTATAGATGGATGGATGGATGTTTGTTAAAAGGTATCTTCAGAATGGGTGCAAGGATCTCGATGAAATTTGTCATAGAGATAGAGCATTTGGAAGAATACACAATTTACTAATAACGTTTTTTTAATTCGGCACGGATGGAATCGCGGAAGACAGTATTACATCAAACTTAATAAAAGGATATGTTTCAAGTCCTATTGTATTTCTATGGTTTTCACTTACGTTTCTTTTCGTCGCAATTGTACTCATATAGATCGCAATTATCGTTAAACATACGCGTTATCCCGAGAGAGTCCTGTCCGCAGATAGGGACGAAGTCGTGTTGACATTGATCCGCCATTTTGCAAAAATTTATTACCTATAAAAAACATAGAAAAAGAACACACTAATCACTTATTTTTGACATATAAATTGTCACCTACGCTGTTAACACAGTTTCTTTACAATTTTTTCTGTTTTTTTTTATTTAAACTTTAAAAACAGCAAGGATTACTGGAGAAAAAGGTATAAGTACTTACTGGCTCTAAAGGAAAGAAATAATCTTCAGCCTCTATCTCTACGTGATTCCAGACTTCTTCTGCAAACCCTAATATAATCAAACCTGTAAACATAGCATTAATTTTCATTTTCATATTAATATTTCTTAATGCTTGCATTCATCACTGAGGATAATTTAAACAGCGATACGATTACACTTTAATTAATTGAAAAATAATTTTATCTAAGCAGTATTGTTTTCAACGCTCCCGCAACCTGGTCAAAGTTGCGGGAGCGTCCTGGATGCGGGTGGCACAAGACCGGTCATCGTGGCAATCTTTGGGGGGAGTATTATTGTAATATTCCATCCAAAACACTTCACATGCTGTAAGAAAAAAAATCGCTAACTTTCTAACTAAAAACTTACTAGACAAAAGTATCCTAAATGTCATAGTTTAGACACAAGCGCACTGTTTGAAGTTCAACTTTGATATAGTTTAGGAGTTAAACAAGGTTTGTTTATAATTTACGTTAATTATGGCTCTAGAACGGGAAATTATGATATAACACCCGGTTTAACAGAAAGGTATGTAGAGCATAAACTAAACGTAAGCATGGATCACCAACATTTTCATGGGAAACCAAAAATGTATAGAAGAACCAGCTGTTGCCTGCGAAACCTTCCGCGCGGATTTAAAAAACCTAATTAGTAGTCTATGTGTCCTTCCAGACTATGTTCTTTGTTGATGCCAAATTTCAACCGGATCCGTTCAGTCGTTTTGGAGATAACTTCAAACAAACATCCATCCATGCATCCATCCATTTACATGGTTTAAGATTTTTGTTACAAGTAACAGTACTTTTTAACCTTATCTAAAATATTGTATAATAACAGAATTATTTCTTTCTCTAATCATCATACAGCCTTAATCAAAGAAACTTTATACTCGTTTTACTTCGGTGTTCCCGCTGCTCGTTTGCCACCTTCTGTTATAAAATAAAAATAAAAAAAACTTTATACTCGTGTAAATTAAAAGCCTTGAAAACTAATAGTTTATTACTGAGTCTTGTACATCCTCTCAATCAACAACCACTGCTGAGAGTAAGCCTCCTCTAAATATCGCCGCAATAAATTTTAAAATATTTATTTCAATATTAAAATGTTTAGCACCCCTGCCCGCTCAATACTGTCAAATCAGATGTATGAAACTTATAGCACAGAATAACACCACGGCATCGGATATTATCATTTAATACATCAATAGTATCGGGATGTGGACGAAGAGTGCTATTTATTGTGAGTTATTTTGTGTTTACATCAATGCTCTGCGATGCTCTTTGAATATTAAACATGTTTCTTGATCTTAATTGAAAGAGAATAAATTAACATTAAAATGCTTCGTAGTTAAACTATTGTGTTGTTTAATATTGAAATTCTAACTTGTTAATGCTTTGTCTTATACAGAAAAATCTGCAAACGATTTTGATATCGAAACCGTAACTTTTAATACTACTAATATTATAAATGCGAATGTTTGAATGTATGGATAGATAGATGGATGTTTGTTGAAAATTATTTATTTAACGGCTGCATGGATCTTGCTGAAATTTGGCCTCAAATACATAGGGTTAAGAACATATATTATATTTTTTTTTTTATTTCAGATATAACAACATGCGTTTTAATCCCTGTAAATGCTCATCTACCGGACTATGCAGTAACACCACCGGTAATTTATTATTTTTTGAAATATTAAACCTCTTTGGTACAAGGATTTTACATACCACCGAAAATTTATACTGGCCACTAAGAATTTGCAAATTAAACAAATTATTATTGAAAAATATTTTTTATTCAATTATGTTTGGATGGATGGATGTTTCTTAGAAAGTATCACCAGAACGGCTGCATGGATCTCGCGGATTTGACATAGATGTAAAACACAGCCTGTAAGAACACAGGCTTCTAATTATTTCTTTTTAATTCCGCATGACTTAAGCTGCATGTAATAGTTATTTTTATATAAATTTTATTAACAGAATAAAGTAGATCAATTCTGTCAGTTGGCTGAGACTTGTATCCACGACACAATACCTATATGCGGTACGATGGGAGATGAAAAGAGAACATTCCTGGATCTGTGCGACTTGTTAGAGTACGCTTGTGATACAAATCAAGGTAAATTTGTTTGAACTTAAATATCAGTACCTGGATGAGCTTTGCTCGGTATTTTTTTTTAATTGTGTTTTTTGGAAATTATATTTAAGTACGAATTACTAATAAAATGATGAAATATGAATAATATTTTTCGATCTTACCGATAGAAAAAGTTAAGTTTATGTTTAAGTTGATTATCGATAAAACACAATTAAAATAACATTTTCTAAAAATGATTCTTAGCTAGATCGATTTATCGCCCCCGGAACCACCTATATACTAAATTTTATGAAAATCGTTGGAGCCGATTCCCAGATTCCTAATATATACATATATACAAGAATTGCTCATTTAAAGATATAAGATAAGGTTACATTTACAAGAATTTTCTTTCCATTGTAAAATTAACTTCGTATCGTATCGTCTCGGATCTGATGTTATTTGAATGTCAGCGTCATATAGATCGTCACAGACAAGATATGCAAATATATAGGTACACCAAAAGTATTCAATTATATCGGTACAACAAAAGTCCTCAAATTGATAGATACATTCACCCTGCTCAAATACATCGGTACATACACAGCGTCAAATATATGAGTACATGCAAGATGCTCATAAATATCGTAGCAGCCACAGCGTCATAAGTAACGAAGCAGTCAAGGTGCGCAAAAATATCGGTACATTTGACAAAATTAAACTCTATCTCTATATACTTGTGATACAATTTGGAATAAACTACTTCTCTTACATTCATTTGACACATTGTTCGACGCGGATGACAGATATTAGGTAGATAAAACCAACATCAAATTTAAGTTTGTCATCATATATGCTAGTTTGGTCTCGTGGCCTTACCGTTCGCCGCCGTTGGTACGTAAGGTCGGCGGTTCAAATCCCAAGCCACTATTTTTTTTATGTTTAAACTTTTTAATTTTAATATCGAAGCACATGTAATTAAACTCTATCGCCGTAGTTATTAGGTACTTTTTGATATTGCCTTGGACTAATGAGTTTGACCGTTAAAGTACTTTTCTATTTCAAACAAAAATGAAGGAGATAAAGCGATGCTATTGGCATGTAATTTGTTTATTACTCATGTTTGTTAAACTTGTACCGGTAAAAATAACACTTTTACTTTTACCTTTTACTGATACTGACTATATTTAAGAAACAAAGAAAAAAAATCTGAATGTCAATATCCAAACTACATCAAATTTTTGGTCGATTGCAATAAACATTCCGGTGTGCGTGGGCGCGCACACATATGTAGATAACACTTGTACGTATAGTATCCGCGCGTACCATTCTTAAAACCCGCAAAGACAATCCACGCTCCGCCCACTCACTTCACTTAATTGTTGTTAACTTCATTTAAATTTCTTTCTACCCGACAGCGAAAATTATAAAAAAAAATTGTCGAGCAAAATTTTATATTACCAAATTTTTACTGGTTATGAAAAAATAACCCCGTGATTGATAAAATGAAAAAAAGTAGCCTGAGATTCGAACCGGTAAACTTACATATTACGGCAAACATACTAGAATACTGCGCCAAACTAGTATTATATATATTGTGACAAGGCAAAAATTGATATTAGTTAATACGTATCTGTCATATTCGGCGTGACAAACTTTTATATTTAAGCGTTATGACAGGAGAAGATAAATATTGGGTTGCCCAGTAAGTTCGTGCCGCTTTATAAGGAAAATTGAAACCCTGTTCTCTTAAATTTTTGGAAATGTTTTTAAATTATATTGGTACGACTCTATACCTAAAACGTCTTTTATTATTGGATAAAATTTTTATAAATTAGTTTTTATCTCAACCAATGAAATGAAATTATTCACAATATAGAAATTTTTGTTACGTTTGATAATGGTGGAAATCCGAAAATGAATCTACTTCAGCTACAGTCTATTGTAAGCTTTATATCAAAAATCAGAACGAACTTTCCGGACAACCTATAATGTTAATACAAAGTGTCAAATGAATGTAACAGAAGTAGTTTATTCCAAATTGTATCGCAAGTATATAGCGATAGAGTTTAATTTTGTCAAATGTACCGATATTTTTGCGCACCTTGACTGCTTCGTTACATATGACGCTGTGGCTGCTACGATATTTATGAGCATCTTGCATGTACTCATATATTTGACGCTGTGTATGTACCGATGTTTTTGAGCAGGGTGAATGTATCTATTATTTTGAGGACTTTTGTTGTACCGATATAATTGATTACTTTTGGTGTACCTATATATTTGCATATCTTGTCTGTGACGATCTATATGACGCTGACTGTACTACATTATTTTTTGTGATTTTGAAATTAATCTATTTTCAGTTTACTCGCATGTTGACGACATGCCTGGATGTCCAGTTTCGAAAAACAAGGAACAGTGAACTGTTTCAAACAAAAAACGACCTAATTGACCTTACAACGTACTACATTTGATATAACAATTTCCCTTGAAATTATCCACAAGAGTGCAGTGTAGTGTGTACTCAAACTTTTTACGCAAAAAGAATCTTTACTTAAATATGTGTTTAAGTATCATTATGGTAATACGCCTGGCCTGACCCGAGACGAAAGAAAGGGATAGTTTATTGATAGATTGTATATGTGGAAACGAGTCGGATAGATTTGGAAGGTTGACCGGGTAACAGGTTGGAGCAGACAGAATAAGTATAGCGAATGCAGTAACGTACCGGCGATCCAGCGCATCTTGATATGACCCTAACGAAAAAATAACCACCGATTAAACTCTGATTAAATAAACCAGAAAGGATTTGCATTAAATAAGCGTACGTTATTTACCTGAATAGACTAAGAAATATGGAGAAGCATAAGAAAAATCGTTTCATTAAAATTGAATCATACATCTCCAGTTAACCTTTATTGTAGCAAGATTTATTTTTTAGAGAAAAGCAAAAAAACAAAGTTAAAAATTATTTTATAGTGATCGTATATTTTTATAAAATTGTATGTATGGTATACTATACAAAATGAACATGAGGGTTAATTTCATATAAATCTGAAATATATTTGAAGATATCAATAATTTTAAAAACAATAATAAATTTCTACAATTGATCTCGTAAGTAAATCCTAGGCAATTTAAATTAAAAAAAAATTTAAAAAGAAATTAAAAAAGTTAACCACGTAAAAAGGTGCGTTCAGGCCTCGGTAATCCGTGAGAAAGCTACAATTTGAACAAGCCATAATTAGCGTGTGCGGTATTAAATCACGGGCAGTGCCCGGCACACCGCGCCGCCACGCCGCCCCCGAGACGCTGCGTTTGTAGCGATTTAGTTGATTAGACCGA